TAGAAAAAGTAAAGAATTCAGTAAGGTGGCCGATTACAGAATGAATATGTATGTACAGTTGACCCTTGAACAAGATGGGTTTGAATTGCTTGGGTCCACTTACACGTGCATTTTTTCCCCCTAAATTCATACAGTACTGTAAATGTTACTTTCTCTTCCTTGTGATTTTCTTAATATTTTCTCTTCTCTAAGCTTACTTTATTGTAAGAATACATATAACATACAAAATATGTGTTAATAAACTTTATGTTATCAGTAAAGCTTCTCTTCAGCAGTACTGTTAGTTAAGTTTTGGCGGAGTCAAAAGTTATATGTGGCCCTAGCCAGTTTGGCTCAGTGGATAGAACGTCAGACTGCGGATTTTGTTGCAGACTCCTCCCCCGCCCGGGCCCAGGTCAGGGCTTGTGCAGGAGGCAACCAATCAACGTGTTTCTCTCACATCAATGTTTCTCTCTGTCTTTCCCTCTTTCTTCTCTTCTCCCTGAAAATCAATGGAAAAGTATCCTTGGGCAAGGATTAACAACAACAATAACAACAACAAAAGTTATATGTGGATTTTTCACTTTATGGGGGTGGGGTTGGTGCCCCCAAGCCCCGTGTTGTTCAAGGGTCAAATGTATAAATGAGATCATACGGTATTTATCTTTTTCTTTCTGACTTATTTAACTTAATGTCTTCAAGGTCCATCCATGTTGTTGTAAATAGCAAGGTTTCATTCTTTTTTTTATAGCTGAATAATATTCCATTTTTACAGCTGAATAATATGACGTTTTCTTTACCCATTCATTCATCAATGGACATTTAGGTTGTTCCATGTCTTGGCTATTATAAATAACTAGGGCCCCAAGGCACGAATTTGTGCACCTTGAAAGGACTGTGGGTGTGAGGCTGTGGTGGGCACAGGGGCAGGTCCCGGCCCATCCTCCATCCCCCATCCAGCCCCTCCCACCGCATCACCCGGTCCCCTCTCTGCTGGCAGCCCTGCTCCTGCCACCACCGTTCCCACGTGCTGACGCCCTCCGGCCCCACTTGCACCTGCTGACGGCACGGAGCAGTGACTGGGGCTGCTCCACCATCCTGCCTCGGCCAGATGTTCCACGTGCACCCCCTGGTGGTCAGCACACGTATAGCGACCAGTTGTTCGGTTGTCCCGCCATTTGGTCTATTTGCATATTAGAATTTTAACTATATAGATGCTTCAATGATAGTGCATATATGTTTTTGAATTAGTATTTTCAGCAGGTAAATACCCAGAAGTAGAATTCTAGATCATATGTCAACTTGTTTTTTAACTCGTGAGAGAATTTTTGTTACTGCAACTCATGACTACCTTTTTTTATTTAATAGCATGAATACCACAGTGTCTGAGAGCCCCTTCAAGTGTGATCCCGATGCTGCCAAAGCCATTGTGGATGCTGTACGTAAATGCTTCCTTGAAAAAGGACAAATATGGTGCTAAATGGGGAGGGAAAGTACTGCTTTCACCAAGTACTTGAGTACCTCCTGTATGCATATTACTGCGTGAGGTCTTGAAATTACAAAACGTGAGCACACCTAAGCAGACATTTGACTGCATGTCAAGTTTGGTCTATTTGCATATTAGAATTTTAACTATATAGATGCTTCAATGATAGTGCATATATGTTTTTGAATTAGTATTTTCAGCAGGTAAATACCCAGAAGTAGAATTCTAGATCTAGTAGAATTCTAGTTCTAGTTTCATTTTTTTGAGGAATCCCTACACTGTTTTCCATAGTGGCTGTATACATTTCCCACCAACAGTGCACAAGGATTCCCTTTTCTGACACTTTTTTCCCGTTGCTGACACTTTTTGTTGCTTGTCTTTTTGATGACAGTAATTTTAACAGGTGTGAGATTTTCTCATTGTGGTTTTGATTTGCATTTCCCTGATGATTATTGATGTTAAACATCGTTTCAGGTAGCTTTTTGGTATATGGGACGACGCTCCAACCAGCCACCTGGCTGGGACAATGGGATTATTTTCTTAATTTCTCTCTGATAGTTTGTTATTAATGTATAGAAGTGCAATGGTTTATGTATACCGATTTTGTATCCTGCAACTTGAGTAAACCTGAGGTTCAAGTAAATTGAACTTGAATCTCCTCTGGCCTGCCATCTTCAACTTGTTTTTTAACTCGTGAGAGAATTTTTGTTACTGCAACTCATGACTACCTTTGTTTTATTTAATAGCATGAATACCACAGTGTCTGAGAGCCCCTTCAAGTGTGATCCCGATGCTGCCAAAGCCATTGTGGATGCTGTACGTAAATGCTTCCTTGAAAAAGGACAAATATGGTGCTAAATGGGGAGGGAAAGTACTGCTTTCACCAAGTACTTGAGTACCTCCTGTATGCATATTACTGCGTGAGGTCTTGAAATTACAAAACGTGAGCACACCTAAGCAGACATTTGACTGCATGTCAAATGTAAAAGCTGAGTAGTGTCCTAGTCCACCCTAAATTGGGCAGGTAGCAAACTAGTACAATTTGTACTACTAACCCAAGTGCCTGTGTACCTATTATAAGCCATGTTTCACAAAAGAATCAATGGCAACTTACTTGTCAAGGTCAGTTAAAGTTATCACAATTTAGGTACTGTTGCAGGGGCAGTTCATAATCCTAGAAAAGACTTTCATGTAAGGCAGTAAAATTTTTTAAAATATATTTTTATCGATTTCAGAGAGGAAGGGAGAGAGATAGGTAGACACATCAATGATGAGAGAGAATCATTGATCAGCTGCCTCCTGCATGCCCCCCACTGTGGATTGAGCCTGCAACACAGGCCTGTACCCTGACCTGGAATCAAACTGTGACCTCCTGGTTCATAGGTTGGTGTTCAACCACTGAGCCACACCAGCCGGGCTAAGACAGTAAACTCTATCAAAGACATAATTTTGTTTTTGTATTATTTTTTATCTGATTCAGATTAACTAATATATTTAACTAGATCGTCTTAATTTATGCTCGTTTACAATATTAAATAAGGAAAACAAAAGAAAATTAAGTCTGATTTTGTACTGCTTTTTAATTGAGTAAAAGGAAAAATAATTTAGTGATGAGGCCAATAATGTATATTTATCTTTATGTATGAATCCTGACAAAGTTGAAACGAATAAGAAAAATTGGATAGGAAAAGCTATTGGTTGGCAGTCATAACTTTTCAATGAGAACACTCTGCCTACATTTTATATATATATAATAAATATTAAATCACTATGTGTGTAAATCAGTTTTTATTCTTTATTTCAAAATACATTTAGTTTCATTATTCTCATGTATGTCATTTAAAGAGGCTTGAGTTTGTTAACCTTTTTTAGCAGTAGAGCAAACCTTGCATTCCTATAAATTATTATTTTTTGAACCTAAAAATTAGGATAGTTGTCTTCTGTTCAGATTCATTTTCATTTTCGTCAGCATACTTTTTTTAGTTTTTTTAAAAAGAATTAGACTAATATATTTTTAACATTTTATTTTAGTTACCACCACCATGTGAATCTGCCTGCACAATACCTGCAGATGGTAAGAACAATATTCTAGTAAAATTACATTAAACCTTGTGTGAATGTGTGGGAAAATTATATCTATAGATAAATCTTACATACCACATCCATACAAAGAAAGAGAAGGAAGGGGAGAAGAAACATTTGTAGAGTTTCATAATGTATGTAGGAAGAAAATGGTTGTATGTACCACCTTCGGTGCCAACCCTAATCACAGCCATTTCCACACCATGACCTGCTCTCTGGGTTCTGGGTACATGCTTCGTGGACTCTGGGTCCCCATCTGGCCATAGGCTGCTTCACCCAGCACTGAGTTCTCTCCCCTATAGATTTAGAATTCGCTATCAGGTTCCTCTAATGAGAATCACATGTTTATATGATTAGTATCAAGAGTAACGAAGCCTAAAAGGAAACACTGGTAAATGGCCTGTTTTTGCCATAGTGAAACTTGCAAGTCTGAAAGTTCGTTTTATGGTAATCAATAGTAGGATACATTAAAGCAAGTATATTCTTCTTTGTTGTATGTTGGGTATATTTTGATTCTCAATGAGGGTTCTAATTTGTTTTTCTTTTCTCTGAATATAGTGGATAAATGGTTCCATCACCAGAAAAACTAAGGAAATTTCTCTGGAATACAAGCTGATATTACTGCATCATACTCATCTGGAAGTATTAGATGCAAAAGTAGTGGCTTTTCTAAGCTTTAAATTTATAGAACTAATCTAACTAACAAAGGAAATTCTGCTGTGACCAATCCAATATATTTAGTGTGTTATCCATATGAAAGCATTTTTCATCTCAGCTAAGGTAACTTTTAGCACATGCTTAAATATCAAAGCAGTTATTGGAATTTGGAAGTCATTTGTGAATAAATGTGCGAGATATTGGATGTATATGTTTACTATGTGTTAGAAAATAAAATTATTTTGCTGAAATTTGTCTTATATTTTCATTTTAATCTAAAGTCAGACATTACCAAGCAGGCATGGGTGCTATTTGTTGTTTGTTTTCTATCAATGAAATTTAATAACTTTTAGACTAAAACTGATATTACTTTTAGGAATCTGAAAGTGAAATTTCTTATTTTTACAGTAGTCTTGATACTGTGCTCTTGCCCAATTCTTAGCATCCCACTGTAAAGCAGAAGCTTTTAAATTTATATCATATTAGCAGAAAACACAACCTTGCTCACCTTTTGAAGTGATATAGTTACCTTCTTTACTTCTCTAGGCAACTAATTGAACTCTTAAGTTATTTACATTATTCTCTGAGTTATCAGCCGGAATAGCTTTGTGATTAAGTTCATGGGCTGTGGACCTATACAGACATGAATTTTTAATCCTAGCCCATCTACTTATTAATTCTGTAATCTTAGGTCAGTTCCCACCCAACTTCTGGTCCTTCATTTGTAAAATTGAAGAGATGAGCCTGGCTGGCATGGCTCAGTGGTTGAGCATCGACCTATGAACCTGGAGGTCACGGCTTGATTCCCAGTTTGGGCATATGCCTGGATTGCGGGCTCGAATCCCAGTGTGGGGCGTGCAGGTGGCAGCCAATCAATGATTCTCTCTTCTTTGATGTTTCTACCTTTCTCTCCCTCTTCCTTCCTTTCTGAAATCAATAAAAATATATTTTTTTAAAAAGTGAGGAGATGTATTAAGCATTAAAACACTTTGACATTTTTAATGAAATCATTGTGTCACAGGCAGCTGTAAGAAATAATAGAGAGATTCTCTCTATAACTTGCCTAGATTCCCCCAAAGGTAAGATTTTGTAAAACTGTAATATGATATCACAGCCAGAACATTGGCTTTTATTCAATCCATCAATCTTATTAGGATTTCCCAGTTTTATACTCATTTGAATGATATATTCTATACAAGTTAATCACCTATGTAAGTTCTTGCATCCTACAAGATACTGGTTCTTTCCTGTTTTTCTCTGAAAGTATTATAGTGTTACATTTAAGTCTATGGTCCATTTTGAGTTTGTTGTTGTATAAGGTGTTAAAGTTTAAGTCAAAGTTCTTTTTTTTTTCCCAAGGACGTTCAGTTTCTTCAGTACCCTTTGTTGCAAGGCTATTCTTCATTAAATTGGTGTTGTGCTTCTGTTAAATATCAGATGCATGGGTCTGTTTCTGGGTCCTCTGTTTGTTCCACTGATCTATGTGTGTGTTCCTCTGTCAGTACCACACTGTCTGGATTTCTGTAGCTGCATGGTAAGCCTTACTACCACACAGAGTACTTCCTCCCACTTTAGTCTCTATCAAGAATTGTTTAACTAGTTGTTTAAATGTGCCTTCTTATTTAAATTTTTTTCTATCTTCTCTATTTATATATTATCCTCACTCAAGGACATTTTTCCGTTGATTTTTAGAGTCTGAAATCAACAAAAATATATTTTTTTAAAAAGTGAAGAGATGTATTAAGCATTAAAACACTTTGAAATTTTTAACGACACATCGAGTGGTTGCCTCCTGCACGCGCCCTGACTAGGGCCCAGGCCGGGAGGAGCCTGCAGCCAAGTTACGTGCCCCTGACCTGAATCGAACCACAGTTTTATACTCATTTGAATGATATATTCTATACAAGTTAATCACCTATGTAAGTTCTTGCATCCTACAAGATACTGGAGAGAGAATCATTAGCTGCCTCCTTCACTCCTTACTGGGGATTGAGCCTGCAACCCAGTCATGTGTCCTGACTGGGAATCGAACCCTAACTTCCTGGTCCATAGGACGAAGCTCAACCACTGAGCCTCACTGGCCAGGCCTCATTTAAATTTTAAAATAAAACGTTCCTATGTCTGTTGTTTATGCCTATAGAAAATCTTGCTGAGATTATGATCGATCAATTTTAGCCATGTGCTTACTTTCCTAATGTGTTTGTTAGTGATTTCTAGTTTGATCCCATTAAGATCAGGAAGCACACATTGTATGATTTCAATACTTTTTATATTGTTAAGGTTGTTCTATGGCCCAGAATGTGGTCTGATTCGGGGAATGTTCCACAGGTGTTTAGAAAAAAATATGTATTTTGATGGTGTTGGGTGGAATATTACATTTCTGTTAACTAACTCCTGTTGATGGATGGTAATGTTCAGATCCTTGATATCCTTGATA